AAATTAAAAGGCTTTCCTCAGAAGAGACGTGAGCCACGTCGCAGCACGGTGATTGCTATCTCTTTGCTTCCAGTCATCATCTGCAGAACAACAACCCAATTACATTTGAAGACAGACAAACATTCCTGGAGCGACCTTTGCATGCCCAACCAGAAAAAAGTGTCACCAATGCCAAGTCCGATGCTGGAGCTGCATCAGAAAAATAATTACGTTAGAAATGGAGATAAAAGGAACACAAAAATATAATAGATCCCAAACTCTTTGTGATTAAATCCAAAAGTTTGTCAATAGAAAATAGAGATCAAGTATTGGCATTTTGCCTGCCAAACACATGTTCCGAAGAAATGACTTAGCCTCTTCTTCACTCAGTGACCCCACCAACCATGGTAAGACACACTCAATCAATTTCAAGGGCATCACACACAAGCTTTGATACAGGAGTTCTCGCTGTCTTTTGGGGCTGAAATGCTTTCTAGCAAGTGGAAGAACCTATTAAACCAATGCACTTATTAGATTCTATTACAGCAAGAGATTCTTAACATTTGAGCTTTAGGAATGATCAAAATGCCTATAATGTTACAGAACCCTTCTGCAAAATGGTGCTGTAAAGAAATGCAGAAAAGGACAGGCCTCTACACTCATAAGTGCGACACAGAATACTCAACCTGAACTTCCTCATTGTGGAAATGCTTCTGTATGCTGTCCATTATCTGGTCAGCATGAGAGCATAATTTTGAATAGAATTCAGTAGAAGATGAATTAACTCCAGTATTTTGAATACTTTCAATGAGACACCTAAGTTTGTCAAACCGAAGTTCTTCCTCTGCATGCTCCTGAGCAAAAGAAAGTTCTGCATCTACAGCAGGGAATATAACCTTGTCCTCAGCAATACTGCAGTCAGATAAAAAGACAGTCACAACATGTAACCAGTCATAAGGTGGGCAGTCAGAAGGGTCATTTGCCTGAGGGCTTGAATTACTTAATTTGCAAAGAAAGATGAATTTACATACCATGCCATATTCATTTAAAGACATCATGCTCAATAAAAAAAGAGGGATAGAAAACCCAAAAACTGTATATGCGTATACATGCGTGTGCGTGTGTGTGAAACCATACCTATGAAAGATGCAAACCTCAGCAATGAACTGCAGCCTTTTGTTAAAAGCAGACAAATCAGAGAAATCCCCAGAATATTGAATCTTCCGAGCAGCTTCTGCTATATCATTCAGCTCCATTTTTATGGCATTATGCCAAAGTAATATCTCATTTATTGGGCATGACAGAATAGAATTGGTAAGATCAGAAGTTAACTCCACATATTTCCTTTTCCCAGTTCTGGAAGATTCACACGCACAGAACTCCTTCGTTTGACACACCAGAGCATTAGCTCCAGAACTTTGGCAATGAGTTTCACAGTTATCTTCACAACTTTTACATACATGAGAGGCTTTTACCCCTTCCAACCAGGTGAAAATAACCTCCATTTACAAAATGTAAAAGTCAGCCTTACTTAAATACCTCAAGAAGCATGAGAGAAAAAAATAAGGCAGAGGGAGAAAGAGGACAGATCTAACCCAAAGGAAGCCTCACCTGCTGAAGTAATTTTTCTTTCGGAATTATCTTGCACAAGCACTTGCGCATGTCCTGACGCTCATCAGGTGATATAGAGGAGGAAAGCCAGGGAAGAAATTCTGTCATCATGTTAACAGGAATACTGCAAAGAAACTGCCATACCAATGATGCCTGCTCTTCAAAGGAGAACTTTTCAATAAGTAATGGAAAGACCTGTAGTATACAATGTCAACAACATGCTCATTAGATTCAGATAGCTGCAGATAGTCAAAACTCCAGAATTACAGATTCCTCATGTGCAAACAAAATTTAAATAAAAAATGAATCATAACTTTCTAACAGATTTAGAAAACTGATCACCTACAACCAAAACAAATGGTACCTGCTCCTCTTCCTTGGACATGTGCTGACTAATTGATGTTTGGAGCGCCCCTGTACGAGAAGCTAGCTCTCTGCGATAGCTTTCTTCATTTTGCATGTTTGAATTCAGCAAGTCAAACAACTGATCAAAAAGCACACTTTCTCCCTCATGTTCAAGGGAGTAAGTCCGTGCCACATTCTTTACACGTATGTCAAGTGCTGGAAAGATGACCTACAAGTACGAAGCAGCTAATTTGACAAAGGTGAAGAATACCAAGATACATCTCTTTTATAGATTGAATGATGCTGTAGAAAATTGTTTGCTCCAACACATAAATGTTTTCTAGATAATTGGCAATAAAGGCATCAAAGGCTGAGGAGAATAGTATCAAAATCATCTTTCCTGTTGCCTTTGGCTCATATTCCAGTAAATGCAAAGGTACTCCGCAGCATGAATTTCGAAATAAAAGACACACATCTTTTATGTTTGCTTCTCCATGAATATATAATTAAAACCTTATTACTAGATGAAAACTCTACTCTACTTTCATTATCTTTTACATATCTGGGATAACGCAGACCTACTATTGGATATTCATGCCAGAAAAAGATATCAGTGGAACAATGTCCAAAAAAGTTTAACTGATGTTTCGAATAGCAAGGCAATTCAAGGCCTGACAGACCAGTAGTTGAATCATGAGGTAGCTGTAATCATCAAAGCCAATCTTCCATATGGTGGAAGACATATCAAAGTCTACAGAATAACAAAGCACATGCATCTCAAATTCCACAAAAATGTATTCTGAGCGTGACAATTAGTAAGTTAAAACAAATTATCAATATGCATAAATGCAAGGATGAATCCAGTGCGTTATCAACCATCCAACATCTCTTCATCAGCAATTTATATAGAAAGATCACCGGATACATGTACAATAAACATTCTCAACAAATAATTACAGCCTCGTTACGTTCATAAACAACTTGCCAGTTGTCTATGATAACCATATAATAAACCAAAAAATACATAAACTCACCAGCAAAAAAACCTACATAAATAGCATGAGAGAAAGCAAAAGGCAATTGCAACGTAGCTGAGAACTATTTTTTGAACTTTAATAGATCCAATACAATAAAGGAAATCCAAAATTCAGAGACAAATGAAGAACCGAACAAACATAGAATTAGAAAAGTAAATAAATGAAGAGAAACTTGATACAAATTCAGAAAGCTATCAACGGCAAACTAATTGAGAAACTCAAACTAGGAAAAGTTAAAAAGGCTAAAATCGATAAATTTGCGAAGAGCAAACTAAGATTACATAGAAAAGGACGCTACCTCGTCTTCAGCATTGCAGTGGTGCTTGTAAATCGAGCGAAGCAAGTGGTACCTTTTCAACAAAGGCTTAATATCACCCTCACTGTCTACCTCCTGGTTGGTGGCAAAAGCCAAAGCAGCTCTATGAAGCTTATCAAGCTCGGACCTGATGGCTTTGTGAAAGAACAAGAAGATAAGAATTGGCGACTTTAGAGCGGAGTTTTTCAGACAAGATTTAGACGGCGTAGATGAATCTATAGGGTTCATAGGACCTGCCATTACCGCTACACCTCCTCCACCTCCGTCTCTGTGTTGCAAACCCGAATATGGAGTCGCCATTATTAGGAAAGATCTGAAGATTGTGTTTGCAGATTCAGCTTTCCAAAAAGCCCTAGATTTTTCTCTCTCCCGTCGCGGAAAAATGATTTTCGGATTTCATTTTTGTTTTTTTCATTTTTACGTAATTTTCCTGCTTCTCTCTTCTACTTTCCCATCCTCCCCTCTCCTCCCTCACATTTCATGTTTTTGGTTTACTTGTTTTCTCTTTTTTTCTTTTAATTTTACTTTTTCTCTCTCTTTGAAAAGGAAGCGCGCAAATAAAATGAATGCGGTAGAAGATTAAAAAAAAAAAAAAGGAGGAGACAGCTTTAGTCGATCCACGTGGCAGCAATCAACCACGGTATCCCAACTGAGCAGATGAGGATGAAATGCCAGGCTGATTTGCACGACCACAAATTCACGAAACGACGTCGTTTATTAAACGGGTTCAACAAATTTTTTACCTAATTTTCAGGCCAAAATTTAGTAGAATGTTAATCTAATTAAACTCAAAATTAAATATTATAATTTTCAGTCCAATTGTTGTCAATTGACAGAGTGACGTGCGCCACCAACCACTTAGATCCACCACGACTTTCCAAAATTTGAATTGGTAACATATATATATTTATTATAATCATAGGCTAATAAAACAAAATGACAAAGTAACAAACGTGATCGAATTCCAAGTAAATAAACAATGATTTATTGACTATGTTCAAATTAATATATAGTTTTTTTCCCATTCCTTTGGTTATAAATTTGTTTGATTCTCAAATCCGAATCTTTGATCTTAGTAAATTTGTATTTTTATATTTGTACACCACCTAAGTATAAACATAACATAACATATTAATAATTTAAATTATTAATTAAACATTATAAATATTATATATTTATAAAATAGTAAATTATGTATTTTTTAATAAAATTTAAAATTCGTAATATTATCATATAATATAAAAAATTAATATTTTCGTCGTACACTAAAAAGATTATAGGATTTATAAATAAATTTTACACATTTGTTTGTTATTTTAAAATAAAGTTTTAACAAGTGAATTATAATTTGATTAAAATTTCACACTTGTTAGTACCATAAAAAGGTAAATTTGACTAATTAATATTTATTAATATAATTAATTAGTTAAGTAATTTTTTATTGTATTTTACAAGTATGTTTTATTTTTTATTAAAAAATAATAATTTTTAATGCATTTAAAAAAATCGAAAATTAAATTACAAAAAAATACATTAAATATTAAATTATATTGTTAAAAAATATTATTAATAAACCAAGTAAATGACATTTTGGTAACTCAAATGGGGAAAGCATCTCGCGCAGGCTTACATGGCCGGGACACAGCCGCGCATGAATGGAGCACGTGTACTGGATCCACAAGGGCGTGCGAATCGCCAGGCACCACGTGCACGGCCGGAGCCTTCACAAGTTCTTAATTTCTTTTTCGTTCTCCTTGAATTTATTTCTCCTTTCCGTGAACTTTGGAGAAAATGGAGATCCCAACGGGACAAATTCTCGTTACAAATTGATTACCGTATTCAACGATTTTCGTCGAAACGAACCGAAATATTTTATCGTAATGTACTAAAACCGATGGCTAAATCAAAATTCAATCATATGTTCGATTTAAATTTATACCGAGCAAATGATTTTGATCTGATTTTTCGATTTAATTTTGGACGCACCCTAATAGAAATAATTTGTTAGACTATGTTATCAAATGGATTATATGGTATATATGGCATTAAATGGTAGGTGGCGATTGAAAAGCAATATAAGTGGTTAGACGACAAAACGGCGACGTGTGGGCCAACCTTGTTGAAGAGTATGTAAACATGCACCAATTCATTATTTTCATGCTAAGGTAAAGTGTTTTTTTTTTATTGTTGGATGACTTGGATTCAATATGTTATTGCCTTCCTAGTTTCTTGAATTATACATTTAGTATATATATATATATATATATATATATATATATATATACCATATTTATTTTTGATAAGTTATGGGAATTTGATGCGATATAAAAAAAGTCATATTTTAAAAATTATTAAAGAAAAACTTTACTTTATAAATTTATTATTATTGTAATTAATATTTAATTGAATAGTTAATATATTTTATATGTCGTTTTTTTATTTGTATTATTTAATTAATAAATATATGAATTTATCTAAAAAATTATGGTCTTAGTATTCTTCTTAAATAATAAACATTATTAATTCAATTATTTGATTTAATATTGATGAAATTTATTAAGAAATAGTTCAAAATTTACAATTAAGGTAATATTATAATTTTATTTCAAACCATAACAATATACTAGCGGGGAGTTCCTACTAAATTGTATTAAAATTGGTATCCCACGTCAACATGTTTTATGTTGGTGCTTGATGAATTTATTATAAGCAAAATACGTATAATAATAATATGCATATGCGTGTACGATGACGTATGCGTATACCATATCACGGTGATAGATAAATGTAAAGGTGTACGTGCGTGTATAGATATATATATATATATATATATATGTATATATATATGTGCACACATACACACACACCCACACACGAATTGATAAAAATAAATTAATTTATAACATAATTAAATTAAGTATTATGTATTAATCACTATAGACTCATAATATAAGTATAAATTTAATTTGATATTAAATAATTATAATTAAAAATGGATGAGTTTATCTATAAGTAAGTGGATGACTATCCACCAAAATTAAATATTAATAAAGTATAAATAATTAGTGAGTGTGCCACGCTTAAGCTCGGCACACTTTGTACCAAAAATATATTTGAAACTAAATATATTGGCTAATTCCACCATATAATTATAATGACACTTGCCAC